ATGCAGTTTAGGCTGTTAGTGGAGTGGGGAGACTCTGCAGATAGAGGGACCATATTGCTGTTGAATGTTCTTGTCACAGTGATGTTATACTTAAAGAACTACCATTGGTTTTGGGGGTATTTGGTTTTTTGGTTTTTGGGGGGTTTTTGGGGTTTTTTTTTTTTTTTTTTTTTTGGTTTGGTTTAGAATCATCTGACAATTTGGAAAACATCCAGTTTTTTTCCATGTGTTGATGTAATCACATGACATATGAACTGGGGAAGAAATACTTGGTTTGCATCTGGATTCCAATTATGTAAGGATGGGCTTTGCTGATGAGGGCCCTGATGCAATTGAAATATGTAATGAAATTAGATAAAATGAAAAGTCTCCACTGGAGCAATAACCTGTCGTGGATTAGAAAAGGAAACGGTATGATTGTGCTTCCCTGTTTTCCTCCTATGGGTGCGTGTGCTTTACTGTGCCATGTGCCTGATTTACCTGTTTTTAACTTACTTGGGAACATTTCGGTCTGCTGGTATTAGATGCTCGGTTTTAGAAGTGTGAATTTGGATGTTGAGTGTTGTTTAGATTTGATTTGATTTGTGTAACATCGTAGAACAGGAAGTTTAGAGAATCACAGAATTTTCTCTGGTTCTACTCCTTCATTTTCAGATAAGGGTGCAGACTGCCAGTTAGCGGTTGGTCTGGATTCCCTAGCTAGCTCCTGTCAATTTCTATCATATAGCCCCATTCTCTCTTAGTCTGGTTTGATATGCTGCCTCATACTACTAATTCTAGGAAGTTGTAGTAGCTTTATTATAAATGCAAGAACCTTTGAAGATTGATATTGCTGTATGTCTGTTACATTTTTATAAGTTTTTAGATTTTAATTCCAGAGTGCTTACACTTGGGAAGAACTGTTTAGAATGAGTGGGGTAGCAAAGGGTATTAAAGAAGGAAAATAATCTTATCCTAGCAGTTTGCCATATTTGTGTAAATAATGTAAGAGGCAGATAAATATATGATTATAAAGATTGTGAACTTTGGGATTTCCCATTGCCCTTTGTTTCTGTCTGTTGGTATCATTATTTTGCACTTTAAACATATAGTTTGTTTCTGTTTGCCTTAAAAGTATACCTAGTAACTATCTTGATTCTGATTATTCTGTAGTATGAGATATATTGGTATATTTATATAAATTTCCAAAATATTGATATTTATTGCTCTAATAACTTTTAGTGTGTCACATACTCCCCTATGGCAGTTTTATATTTATAAAATGAAATTAAAGAAATAAAATACATATTTAAAAAATAGTAATATTTTAGAGAAGAAAATGTAGACATTGACTCAGGGTCACATGGACTTATAAGTATGTTTAAAAAGTAGGTAAAGTTCCAGGCTTTTTGAACTCAGTTTTATTCTCACAAGATTATACATCATTTCTCAAATGATGTATAGTTTTTAAACACATAGAAATATTAGCACAATAAAAAATTTGCTATTTCTAAAAGTGCCAAATTTTTTAGACTATTATTCTTACATAATTTTAATACTACGATAGTACCCAGTTTTTGCAGGTCCCTTTATCTTAACCCCCGTGTTGTATTTTAATCTTTGTATTCATTTAGTGTATATTTATAAATGTAACACCCACTGTGCTAGACATAGTAAACACAAATAAGCTACAGTCTCAATCTCTAAAAGTTTGAGTGGGAGTGAGAAGTTTTTAATATCCATAACTTTATGATACAGTCCTGGCATACATATCTTGGAAATGGCTTGGCTTTTTCTAGTTGTTCCCCTCCCCTCTTATAGATCACTTAATTGTATTTGTGAGTTTGGTTGTGATTTCAGAGTCCTATAGTGTTTAGGATTCAAATTCCTCTTTTACTATTGCTCTCAAGGGAATAGCTTTAATGCCTGGAAACTTTTAAGATTTTACCTCTGGGTTTTAGGTGTGTGGTCGATGTGTCTGCCCTAGGTACTTTTTAACCAGCTGTCCTTTGCCTCCTGATATCTGCCAGTGCACTGCAGGCTAATGTCTTGTGACTGAGGTCACCAGGGATGTTTCCCAATTCCCTGAGTGTTGACTTCATGTTTTCCTTTGAAGGTACAAAATATATTTCTCAAGAATAGCTCTGAGAGAGGCCAGAGTTAGCAGGGATTTATTGACATGTGTTCTATTCATCAGATATTCATTAAATGCTTACTGTGTGCCTGAGTTTATGTTAATAGGGACTTAAATAAGAGGTGACCCTCCCTTAGAATTGCTCATGGTCAGGGGGTGCCTCAGATGTTGAAACAATTCCAGTAAAAAGAAGTGTTACTAATAATATGGCAATTCTGTTGTAAGTACAGAAGGACCTGTTAGATTAGAGGTGAGAGTTGAAGAAGGTTTTGAAAGTTGAGTAAGAGTTTATCACTAGGCTATGAAGGAGATTTCTAAGCAGCATCTGAAAAGGACAGTAATGATGGCTTTCACTTGGCTAAGTAACTATACTAAACACTTTACACATACTGCCTTTTTTCTTTGGCACTGGGGATTGGACTCGGGACCTTGTGCTTTCGAGGCAGGCAGTGGCACTGCTGAGCTGAATCCCCGGCCCTACACATATTTTAATCCTTTTTAATCCTTTTAATGGCCTTAATGAAGTAGCTTTCTTACCTTCTTTTTTTTTTAAGGCAAGGGTGCTGAATTTCTGAGAGATTTAATTGTTCAGTATCTCATAGTTAGTAAGTGGTAAGAGATGGATTCATTTCATGATTTCATGTGTGTTTGACTGAAAATCCCTGGGCTCCTATGAAACAAGACCTCGCTAGAAGCAGAGGAGTGTTAAAGAGTGGGCTGATTATACACGTCTTGGAGAGTTCAACTTGGTTCTTCTTGGAGAAAAGAGTATCAGTGGTAGATGGAGACTAGAAAGAGCCCAGATTAAGTTCTACATTTTAGAACTTTATGTTTTTATTGGTAAGTTCTTGCATAAGTTGTGGAAATGCGTGCCGCTGTGGGCCTCCCACAAAAGCAAGAACAGTCTCAGATTGACATTTTTTAGTAACTGTGGAAATACCAGGAGAAATGATTTGAAGCTTTCTAGGCAAAGAAGCAGGGGGGGCATGTTAGGAGGCCCACAACAGGAGTGTGAGGTGAGGTAGTATTTATGGAAAGGCCATACATAAGACAAGAGGAAACCTCATGATGGTGCAGGAAGGTAATGGAGATGCTCAGAGGGGTTTCCAGGTGGGCAGTGCTGAGGACTCTTAGGGTTGCAGCTCAAGACATGATGTGGAGGTGTCCTGAGGATTACGAGAGGAGAAAAGGTTTGGTAGAAAAATGTGGAGTTGAATTTCAGGTGCCTGGGGGAGAGGAAGCTGGTCAGCAGTTGGACATGCTAGTCTTAAGCCCAGGAAGACATGGATTCCACAGGTATTATCTAGAAGAGAAAGAGCAGCCATCAGCCTGTGGGCGGTGTTGATCAACCAGGGAAAGTTGTGGAAGAGAAGCCAAGAGAACTGAGGCTCGAACCTACCTAAGGCAGATGAATTAATTGTTCAGACTGCAAAAGAAGACCAAGAAAAAAACAGTTGGAGAGATGGCAGGTGGTCCAGATTTTTGGCAAACTCTGTAGTGGTACTTAGTAAATCATTTGTAACTATTTTTAAATTGTGCAAAATATAAAAATTGCTATAGCAAAAACGAAATGAGTTTCTGATGCCCAAAAAGTTTTACTGTTATTGTTTTAGGATCCTTAACTTCAAAGTTAATTTTGTTTTTTATGAAGCTTTGTGCTTTTTAATTCATGTATATAAGAAATGTAAGTATCTTCTGAAATACCTCCATCTTACCCTGAAGAGATTGGTTCTGTAAGAGAAAGACAGTTTGAATTTCAGGTTCTGTTATGGCTGATGTTAGAAAGACCATAGGGGAGAGGAGGGGCTGCAGAAAATGAGGTGAGGAAAAAGTAGTAGACAAGTCTGTGTTACTTTTATATACATAGTATCTAAGACTTTTCCCACTTATTTTATGGACTGCTCCGCTTTTGCATTAAATGAAGGATACAATAACCTGTCCGACCACCCTAATAGAATATAAGATCACTTAGTGTGGAGTATAGGTTCTGAGTTTAATAACAAACCTTAACTAGAAGTCTTCAAAAATCTGAGAAATAAAATCACTGAACCTTTGAAGTCGTAGACAGGCTTAAAAACTATTTTCTAGTTTGTTTTATAAGTAAGCAGAGGGAAACCTCACTCTGCAGATGGTCATGATATATGAAGGCCTTGGTCTGCTAATAAGTATTTGAAATTTAATTTTATAGTCCACATTTTCTCAAACCATTTCTCAAATTAATATATCTGCAGAGAACTTCTCAAGTAGTATAAAAAGTCCAAAAGGTAGGATTTAGTAGGAGATAATTGAAAAAAAAATATATACTGATGACAAAGGACTTTCAACTAGTTTATTGTGCACTCCCAAAGGGCAGAAACAGTGCCACTTTTGTGGGTAGGCCCCTGCTAATACTAGCTGAATGTATGAGGTGGGTTGTAGATAATAAGTTGATCTTTGAGATTTCACATAAAAGTCACTTAGCAGGCTGCTGGAAGGAAATCCCAAATATATTTTCAGTAGAAGACTGGGGCTTCTTGTTTTTACTGTTTTGTTTAGACAGGATTGTGAGGTGATGGCATGTGTGCCTGAAATAGAAAATCCTACTTTGTACTCCTTGTTAGAAAGTGGCCCATAGAAATACACGCCTTAGGAGATCTGAGCCATTGACCAAAGGAAGGCCCCCAAACTGGTTTGCTGGACTAAATGGCCTTAAATGGTCACTAGTCAGTAAAGCCCAGAAATATTTAAAAATAGGTTAGTGGTTTACAAGATAACTAACTAGAGTGCATATCTTTGTATCTTTCAAGCCTACAGCAGTTTTCTTTGTCACTGGATTATATATATGTTCCAAAGTTTCATGAAATTCCCAAGGAAAAATGAAGCACTAGTGAGAGTGTGTTTTTGGAATAGATGTAAATATTGGAGAAACTGCATATGACAGATTCGGTCTTTGTCCTCATGTTACAAAAAAATCTGCTACATGAATTGTGGAAGGAACTGTGATCCAGTGGTGGGGAACTAGTGTAAACTCTTAACTTGCTCATGGTTTTCCTGTTCCATTTCTCTTCCTTCCCTCTCTCCCTCCCTTCTTTCCTTCCCCAGTACTGGGGGCTGAACCCAGGACCTTCACAGACCTTCACAGAGCTACATCTCCACCCTTTCATCACTGAGATAGGATCAGTCACTAAATTGCCTAGGCTGGATGTACTTGTGATCCTCCTTCCTTGGCGTCCCAGAGTGCTGGGCTTTCAGGCTTGTACCACCACACCTGGTTCCCATTTCATTGTTATATCAAGTATGGATTGCATGGAAAACCTATGATGCACAAGGCCTGGTACTAAATATTATAAATACGAAATGATAAACCAGAAAGTTTGGTCTCCTCTTCCACAGAGAACTCTTAAGGACCCCACATATCTATAGCAAACCATTTGTCTGTGTTAGATATAGCATTTGTGGGTTTCTACCTTGTGTCCCCAGCCTTACCCTGGACACTCTGCTCTTTTCCCTTTATTATTTTAGAGCCCATCAGTATCATACCCCTTCTCTCTGCCAGTGTGTCCATAGGATCCATCCTTGGTGCACAACTCCTCTTAGTAAAACTGATTCTGTGGATTTAAACCACACTGGATTTTGTAAAGGGAAGGGATGTGACATGAGGGCTGACTTGTATCCCATTCGAACAGGCAGAACTCTTCCATTCCATTTATATGTCCTCTCTGAATTCCAGATTGGCGGCAGTAAGCACACAATGAATGATCACCTACATGTCAGCAGCCACAGCCACGGACAGATCCAGGTTCAGCAGCTGTTTGAGGATAACAGTAACAAGCGCACAGTGCTCACGACACAACCAAATGGGCTTACAACAGTGGGCAAGACAGGCTTGCCAGTGGTGCCCGAGCGACAGCTAGAGAGCATTCACAGACGGCAGGGGAGCTCTACCTCCCTGAAGTCCTTAGAGGGCATGGGGAAGGTGAAAGCCACACCCATGACGCCTGAGCAGGCAATGAAGCAATACATGCAAAAACTAACAGCCTTTGAACACCATGAAATTTTCAGCTACCCCGAAATCTACTTCTTGGGTCCAAATGCAAAGAAGCGCCAGGGCATGACAGGTGGACCCAACAACGGTGGCTATGATGATGACCAGGGGTCTTACGTGCAGGTGCCCCATGATCATGTGGCTTACAGGTACGAGGTCCTCAAGGTCATTGGGAAGGGGAGCTTTGGGCAGGTGGTCAAGGCCTACGATCACAAAGTCCACCAGCATGTGGCCCTGAAGATGGTGCGGAATGAGAAACGCTTCCATCGGCAAGCAGCAGAGGAGATCCGGATCCTGGAACACTTGCGGAAGCAGGACAAGGACAACACCATGAACGTCATCCACATGTTGGAGAATTTCACCTTCCGCAACCACATCTGCATGACGTTTGAGCTGCTGAGCATGAACCTCTATGAGCTCATCAAGAAGAATAAATTTCAGGGCTTCAGCCTGCCACTGGTCCGCAAGTTTGCCCACTCAATTCTACAGTGCTTGGATGCTTTGCACAAAAACAGAATAATTCACTGTGACCTTAAGCCTGAGAACATTTTGTTAAAACAGCAGGGTAGAAGCAGTATTAAAGTGATTGATTTTGGCTCTAGTTGTTATGAGCATCAACGTGTCTACACGTACATCCAATCTCGCTTTTACCGTGCTCCGGAAGTGATCCTCGGGGCCAGGTATGGCATGCCCATTGATATGTGGAGCCTGGGCTGCATCTTAGCAGAGCTCCTGACAGGTTATCCCCTCTTGCCCGGGGAGGATGAAGGAGACCAGCTGGCCTGTATGATTGAACTGTTGGGCATGCCTTCCCAGAAACTGCTGGATGCGTCTAAACGAGCCAAAAATTTTGTGAGCTCCAAGGGTTACCCCCGTTACTGCACTGTCACTACTCTTTCGGATGGCTCCGTGGTCCTCAATGGAGGCCGTTCCAGGAGGGGGAAAATGAGGGGCCCACCGGAGAGCAGAGAGTGGGGAAATGCACTGAAGGGATGTGATGATCCCCTTTTCCTTGACTTCTTAAAACAGTGTTTAGAATGGGATCCTGCGATTCGCATGACCCCTGGCCAGGCTTTACGGCACCCCTGGCTGCGGAGGCGGTTACCAAAGCCTCCTACTGGGGAGAAGACGTCAGTGAAAAGGATACCCGAGAGCACTGGTGCTATCACGTCGATTTCCAAGTTACCTCCACCATCCAGCTCAGCTTCCAAACTGAGGACTAATTTGGCACAAATGACAGATGCCAATGGAAATATTCAGCAGAGGACAGTGTTGCCAAAACTCGTTAGCTGAGCTCGAGTCCCCTGATGCTGGTAATCTGAAAGATATGACATAGCTGAGCCTTACTGGGTTAAAAAGGAGTAGCTCAAAACCTGTTTTTATTTGCTCAATAACTCATTTGTATCTTTTCAGCACTTAATTTTAATGTAAGAAAGTTTCTTGTTTCATTTTTATAAAATACATGGGGACAATGCTTTAAGTTTTTATACTTTCTGAAACTGTTTTTTGTGTTCCAAAAGTACGATGAGCCTTACTGTATCTAGTGTGGCAGAGTAATAACATCAGTGGCAGGCCATTGATTACGTCATGACTGCCATGCATTTACAGATTGGTCAAAGATATTCACTATGTTTTTATGGTTCCTGTGATATTCTCTCCAGGGTGATGGCCTCCTCTTCTCTCCACACTCCAGGTTCATGCACAGTCATAGCATGTCCTGCTTCCATTTTCTGTAAATCGATCTTGGCATTTGTGCAGGTAGAAGGAAAATGGGCAGGATGAAAACGTTATTCTAAGAAAAACTGCACCTTAGAGATGTTTTTTCCTCAAACAAATACAAAATAAGATCCCAAAGGTTTAAATTGCCCTGTTAGCATTCTGATAGTCTAAAAACTGGCAAAGCAGCATTTAGTAGATAAATGGAAACGGAAATGTGTGTGTTCCTCCAGATTTTCTAACACGATCAGCAAGCTGTTTTGTCAAGAAGACTCCTATTACAGAATTGGGTTTGCACCTAATTTTAGAAATGTATTCCACGACTCTCCCTCACTTCTGTTTGCTCTTCTCTCTGTTCCTCTTTTACCACACATCTGTTGCCTGCATTTAGTTTTTCTTCTTCCTTCAATCGTATGTCCCAGACTGTTAATACAGAAAGAGACATTCAGCTGTGATTGTGACCATCGTTTCATATTCCAGTGTAAAAAAAGAACAGCAGCCTAGCTACTTCAGATGGGGGTTTCCATAGTTCCAAAGAAGATTTAGCAGATTAGAGTGAGTTCACATGTTTTAGGTGCCACTGTAAGGTTCCCTTAGCCCGGGAAAATATCAACTCTTTCTTTAAAAAGAAAGAAGGTTGAAAGTCCTCTTCACGAACAGAAATCACTGTGGTCCTTCAATAAGGCAATTTTAATATCACATTTCAAGGGGAGAACTTCAACCTCAAGTTAAATGGTTTGACTTATTCTTTGCATTAGAAGAACCACAGAAATTGCATTCCTGTTTTATTTTACTTGCTTTTGGATTGCACTGATTGTTTTTGTGGGAATGACACTTTACCTGAAAAAGTAACTGAGAGTTAGATAAAAGAATATTTTCTCTGAATAATAATTATTTTCACAGTGAAAATTTCAGTATTTTATCACTAATGTATGAGCAGTGATATACGTATATCAATTTCAAGGCACGTGGAAAAAGTTTTTTAGTATGTGCAATTTAATATAGAAAGATTTCTGCCTGTTTGAACAATAGGTTTTGGGTAGTATAAATTAGGATAAATAATCTTTTATATGCACAGATGTTATTGTATTGCCTGTAAATTGATTTACAAACACTTAAAGCATGGTCCCCAGTGAGGCCACGAAAGTTTCCGGTTAAGTTCTTTTCATATTAACCCTACAGTTTCTCTTACTTTTAAAAAAAGTGTAGTTTTGAACAAAACATTTTACTTATCTTGAGGCTTTGCCGGTTGATGGTGGAAAAATATATGCTCAGGTAATATTTCAGATATTTGCCAAAAAAACAGTAAAAAGATTAGCTTATTAATAAGATAGTAATATTGATATTTGCTTTACTATTTAAGGATGTCACTGATAAATTAATTTGTACTTCTGTATTTAGAAATTATAGCTTATTTCCCCTAGTCAAAATCTTCAGCGTGTTATACACATTTCTGTGTAATCTGTGAAAGTGCAATAATTTTAGTAAGTTGCATTTTAAATGATGCTCTTATAATGACACCCCAATCAGTGGCTTATAGGACTTAAGATTTGTGTGTTTATTACGATTTTGGCTTAAAGGTGTAAGAAGTGTAAGACTGGGTTTGGTGGCTTTCTACAACCACAGGCCTCTTAATAGTCATTAAGTTAGTTCTTTAGCTCATTATAAAGATTGTTTCCCCCTTACCATTAATGTTCCTCTTCCATTTTCACTCATTTTCACATTTAAGTTTAAAAATGTGAACCTGAGCCTGCCATTATTTATTTCCCTGTAAAATGATTATACATGTGAAGTTTTATAAATGTATTAATAGTGTTTGTCTTCATCCACCACACAAAACTGGTTCTTAAGATGCCAGCAATGCATTTGTGACTATCTTTATTCACAGATGCAACCGGAAACTTTTAAGCCAAAATATAATGTGCAGTGCTGTGGGACTTTTTTTTCTTTTTGGTCCAAAACAGTGAGATTTCCTTTATTCACAAGAGCCACTGTATTTCAGCATTTAGTGATAGAACTGCTTTTTAAAAATTCTTTGATTGTAATGTCAAAAACAGAAAAATGTTGCATTTTTGTGATATTTAAAGGTAAATAAGGGCTCTCTGATAGGCTACTAGGAATTGGCTTGGAAACAGTCCTTGGTCTCACAGGTTACCATTGTCTAGGGATGTCTGAGCTGTTTTCGGATTTAGGAATAGCACAGTGTCGTCTTGTCTTTGGTTGCAGTCTCATTTGGCTCCATTTCTTGCAGCACCTGAGTGTTCATTACCACTTGAGGGTATTGCTACAACAGTGGAACAACAGAGTGATGCAAGACAGTGTAGATTAACAGTAGAGGAGAAATTGTGCCCTTAGTGTTAACAATGTGCCTTTTGTTCTGAATGCCATGTTGTAGGGCATGCATTTTTTTGCCTCTTTAACTCTTCGAATACAAGGCAGTAATATTGGAACCCACCTCTGCAAAGATACATCTGTCTTAAATACCTAGTTACAGGCCTTAATACAAACCATAAGGCATGAATCATCAACGGGCGCTGAACAAGATAACCATTGGTTAGCTGCACAGGTAATTCCTATATTTAAGGGGTTAAAGATGGTCTTTGTTGTTTAACATCAGACTGATTTTTTAAATGATATTTTTTTTGTTATGCTAACACTAGACAAAAATCAACTGTATTTGTAAAAATTTACCTCAAACCATTTAATTTTATAGTGTGATTTATCCCAGGGCATTTGGTATGAACCAAAGTGCATTCCTTTTATATGTGCCTGGCTCTAGTAAGGATGGCCAGGGATTTTTACAATTTGGGTGCAAGGCACTTAAGCCACTTTTAAACTTAATGGGTGGTTTGGAGTCATGTTAAATGACTCCATCAGAATGTTAGAAAACACTTTAGGCATCAGTAGCATTGGGCCATATTGGAATCTTAAAATAAAAGTGTGAATTATTTTAAAGAGAGCATTCATTTTTGTAATTTTTTTCATCAAGAATATTTCTGGTAAGCAGAAGAATTTTTAAAAAACTGATTTGGTTGGTAAAGGTTTTAATATTGCCCAACATAATGCTGTGGTAGCATTTAAAAAAGTATTTGTGAACTCTGTTTCTTAGGGGCTTGTACATCTCTCTGCTATGGACATATATGAAATTAATTGTAATTATACTCAGCTCAACTGCTACAGTTATGTCTAGGCAGTGGCTTGGGTTTTTATCGAGCAACAACTTAGACATGTGACTGTAATATGCTGCAACTGTGTGTACTGAAAATATGTGAAAATGGTTGAATGTGGACTGTGTATATATGTATGTAAAAATTTCTGTGAGATGCTGCTGTCGCCACTTAACATGGAAAATGTTCTAGTGGATTTTAATCCTAGTGGCCAGTTCTATGATACTGTATGTATTGTACAGCTGATGACAGGAGTAAGACTGTTTAGTGAATATTTGTTAAATTTTATTGTTGTGGCCAGAGATAATTTCAGAATAAAATTTTAATGTCCTACCTTACTTTTCTCCCCTTTTCTAACTATAATTTAACTTCTGATCTATTTCTGGTGTTATTCTTGGTCTGTTTTCGTTCAGAGAGTTTAGAATTACATAGTTCTGTGTCATTCGATTGAGATGTAGAAGTAGTTTGCTCATCAGCAGTTAAATTATTGGTTGAACATAAATATGCAAATTCCAATTAAAGACCAAAGTTTTAGTACATAGTGCTTGCTTTTCTTAGGTTATTCTATTACTTTTAATATCTTTTTGTTAATTTTTTGATATATGGCACTGCCATGTTTTCTGCCATGCTAGAACTTAAAATCTTTTTTTCTTTTAACCTTGAAAGTGATAGCTGTGGGAGCAGAGTCCATCAGTTCTTCCCCGCCAGCCTTTATTTTTTCCTGTGTACAAGTTCTGGTAAATTATTTTTATGTGCTGTCCCCAGCTCCACCCATTGCTTTTTATAATGTGGGTGCTTTTGCAGATTTTGTACTTGGTGTTTTTTATGGCTCACACTTTAGAGATTTTAGTACCTCCTTGTGTCATGCCTGGGTCAGGAAATAAGGCCTGAGAACTGCAACCAGCTCATGATGTGTCAAGTTCGTTAACAGTGAGCAAAGACGATAGCAAGCAGATGCTCTAGTAAATTGTCAGGTATTGCAGGGATGTTATGTAGACATATTTCTCATGGGGAAAGAACTACCTCACACTTATTTGCATCTCTCCTGCCATCAATGGCGGAGGAATTCTTACCGTGGTGTCCTGCATCAGTGATGAGATTTACTAAAACCAAGGGAATATGTGCAGTGAGTGTTCGTCAGCTCAGCTTTCATCTTACATCCTATGCCAGTGGTGGCGAAACTGCCGTACGTGTGCCGCAGCCTGCTGTTTATTGAAAGCTCTAAAAGGTTCGCCATTACTGGCCTATACTGTGAATTCCCATTTTTTGCTTCTCAAATATTAAATTCAGTACAAAACAAACCTAATCAACCAAAAGCAAAGCAAAACAATGTAATTAGAAATTTTTAAGAGCTGAAAATTATAAGATTGGAAGTTGGTGCTAAGCAATTTACAAGGTACTGTCCAGATCTGACTCAAGACAGTATAGTTACCATTCATTCTCTTTCCATTTATTGCATCTTTCAATTATTTTTCTTAAGTTGATAAGTCTTATACTCTATTTAAATCTTTATAATCATTTTCCTTTTGGAATCAACTATGGAAGTAATATCTTTGCACCTTCAATTGCTTTCAGACCTGTACTGGAGGATGTTAGCTGACATTAATATTAGTCTTTTAAAGAAGGTGAAATAGGTTTTATTACTTTTGATATGGAAAGGAGAAATCTGAAGAAAGTATTATTTGTGGCTTTATTTCATTCTTGTTTATTTATTTATTTTAAGTTTTAATTACACTGTGTTTCCTTTGGGCCAGTAAGCAAATAAACACTTGTCATTAAGGCTGTCCCAAATGGAAAATGACTGCCAGTGTGTTGTGCACACACAAAAAAATTGCTTCTCACTCCAAAGTCTATTATTTTTTTTGGTACTGGGGTCAAACTTGGGACCTTGGGCTTGCGACGCAGGTGGCAAGTCTTTGATTTATTTGGTTCAACTTTCTGTCTTGGCTACGGTCACGTCAAATCTGTGGTACATTTAACATACACAGAGGGCGTAATTACCCTTTCTTTGCATCTGGAGGAAGTTGATTGAGGAAACCAATGAATTAATAGTTAATCTTCCCACATCTTATGGGAGTATTAACTAGCCACTGTAGTAAAAAGCAACAAAATGTCTTACGTTTGCATCACATGTTCCACAGTATTGCTCTTTGCAAAGAAAGCTCCTCCGCAGACCTCACTATGTGAGCATCAGTTTATCATCTTATGTTCCTTTAAGCCATAATTATTCTCCATATTTGAAGAAACGACTTGCTCTGAAGTGACTTTATAAAAACTGCAGTTTGAGGTCTAGGTTATAATCAGGTAACAGTAAAATCAGCAGTCATTTACACAAATTTTAAAAAGAGAATTTGTAGCAATGTGCATTTCTATTAGTTACGTGATTTTCTAGGAGTATCTTTCAAATGGGACAAATTACAAAGAACTGAGCACTGAAGTATATTAGTCTCTAGGTGCACCTAATAATGTCAAATACTCTTGTGCACACCCCTCAGTTAACTTGTAGAAGGGTGACCTGTGTTGCCACTTGGAGATTAGTATAGTTCTACTCTTCACTTTCTATGTTCTTATACTGTTTTTCACTTTTAAGTATATGAAAATACTATTTTTGACATTATTGAATCTCAGGGATTAAAGATGAATTTTACTTACTAAGCAGTAGGTAAATCTCATATTCAAACTCAGGTTTCCTATCTTTTGCCTCCATATCTAAGAAAATAATGCCAGGGAAATACAGAGAAAAGTTTCAGATGCAGTTTAAAAATATAAGATTTGTAAATAAAGCAGTTTTACAAAATAACATATTGTGTCTTTCCTTACTTTTTACCCCAAGTTATTTCCCCTCAAAAGTTTGAGTTTTAAATATCAAGATTATTTCTTCATTTATAAAAATGAGGTGTGTTATTTTTAAAACCAGAGCCCATGAATAAGCCTAGATCAATTGAGTAAAAGTTTACTGAATTGTTTTTCTGTGTTTGGTGGGGGATATGATTGATTATGAGCAGTTTAGCCCTTCAGTAAATAGGTGTATGAGTAAATCTGGGCTAATTTATTAGGATTGTATCTGAAGAATACCCTGCTTAGTCTCCTCTTTTCATAAAACAATTCGTGGAAGTTTTGGCTTTGATGGGCTTAAGTGAAACAAAAATACACCCAGATAATAGATCTTGTTAACATATATTACTCATGGCATTGACTTGTCAAATATGTATTATTAAATGCCAACTATATACGAAATTGTGGGCACTAGGAATATATAATAGTGAATAAAACAAAGACCCTGTCTTTAGGAATTTTTAACTGGAAAGGCCGGCATATTATATGAACAAATACATAATTGTGAATGTAGTAGGGGTCATGAAAGAAGAGCATGTGGTTTTGAGTGTATATAAATTGTACAGGGGCCTTGTATCGTCTTAGGTGGATCAAGGATGACTTCCCTAGGAAAGGAATGGCTTTGGAGCTGATAAAGGAAGAACAGGGTGGCTGGAGGAAGCAAGATGCAGCTGGAGATGGAGCATGAAAAGCGCAGTATGAAATGAGGTGGGTTGGTGGTGTCTGATCTCTTACAGTAATTTGTTTAGGAAGATGGGGTTATAAAACACTAAACAATTTCAGAACAAAAGATAAAATTTTGAGTAGTAAAGGTTATTTGCTTTGCTGTGGATGAGTTTCTAGTAGGTATGTCTCCAGCCAGGTCTTAATGAAAATTAGGCAGAGAAGAATATTCTAGAAGAGAATTGCTCTA